TTTCTTGGTTTTATTTGATCCAATATACTTTAAACATGGTTACTGATGATGCACAAATTGATTTTATACACCACATGTCTAGTGATTAGTATGGTTAATAAAATGTAGTAAATATGATGGAGAACTCAAGACAAGCAACACACAGAGATATAGTAGTTCGATCAAGATGACCTACTCCACTTTGAAGGGCTTTGGTTGTCAGAGTGTTTTATTACTATAGGAGTGTGGGGAGCTCAGGTGAGTCAAGTGTAAGATAAAATAGAAGAGGCCCTCCATGTGTGGGTGAGACTTACAATTTATAGATGTCTCATAACAGATTGAGGCATCATATTCGTAACAGATAGGCTGATTCGGTGGAGGTGGTACCTTTCTCGCAACGGATTGGTTAATCGCATGGAGATCTCTTTATCAATTGTAGACTAGGTCTTTGGATGGCGTAGTTGACTCCTTGACTCCAAGATGGCGTGACTGACTCCATAGTTCCAGGATGGCGTGACTGACTCCTTGACTCCAGGATGGTATGGCCGACAGTGCACTGTTGACTCCGTGGTGAGCTGAGTTGGGTCTCATATGGGTCGGGCCCATTGGACTTTGATTGGTCCGGGCCTATTACTTGAGTCGGGCCTTGTTTGGGCCAACCCCACTGTCTAAGTTGGGTCTTTTCTGGACCAGACTCAGTATTTGAGTTGGACCTCATCTAAGCCAAGCCCATTAGCTATTTTTATACTTATTATATTTGTTGGTATATTTATTATTATTAAAATTTAATTTTTTATTAAATAATCGGTTCGACCAATGACCAACAGACCCGATTTCTTTACCGATTTAATGGTGAACACATATAAATGTTAATTATCCATGTAGATCCGATATTTTGTAGCTGTAACTGTTAGTATAAGCTATACAAATTTATATTATAATGGATATTGAAAGAATACACTAGTTACCACTGAGCGGTTGGTCCATAGGTAAGAACATAGATTTTTTAGCTCAATGTTTATGTTTGAGTCTCTATAGATACAATAATTTAAATTTATTATTGAGCGTCCAAAGTATGCGATGAGACCTAACTTCAAAGTGGTTTGAGACTTAACTTCAAAGCGGTATGACAATGCTCCTAACGGATATGTGGTGTGCCTGCATATTATTTTGTGTAAACCAAAGAAAAGAAAAGAAAGAATACACTAATTAATAGAGAAATTGACCGAAAAGGAAAGTATTTATCATTCTATGGGGTTCTGCTGTAAACCGAAAGTTCCATATCCCAAAAGTAACATGGGAGCAAAAACCCAACCCGCCTAAATCATAAAGCTGAGATGAGAAAAACCCACGAACAGCACTCCCGAAGTTCCGTACATCACCATAAATATTGAAAAATGGTACTTTGCATTGATTTCATGTATTTTTTTTCCCTTTTCAACAGTGTTCTTGTAAATAAAAAGAGTACAAACCTTTAATAAGATGGGTTTCTTAGGAATTTCTTTATTATGTTTTAGTTCTCAATCGCAGCTATAAACGATGCAGACACAAAAGGTCAGTGGGAAACTTTAGCTCCCACCAAGGAAGCCCAGGCAAACCCATTTTAATTTTCCCATATCTCAACACATATATGTATAAATTTTAACGAATATATGATATATGTTTGAGTATGATTCTTGATTTCGTTGTAATAATGATTGGTATTTAAGTATGATCATTGATGACCCATTTGGCTACCAAGAAATTGATGAAATAGTATAAGAGAGAAACAAATTTGAAATGGATGAGGTTCCTCTAATTTGATTGCCAAGAAAGGTATAATATTCGATCAAATTTTAAATTTAAAATTACCCAGCTCATTTTTTTTATTTTTTTTTTTATATGTGTTTGTTTCAGAAATAATTATCTATAGCTCACAGAATGAGTTAGATTGCCCACAAAATTATTTTTGAGGAACATTGACTTCTGTTGAATGATTAACTACTGTCAAAACTTGACAAGATGCATACGCTTCGATTGATACCAACACAATCTACCAATTGCTCAACCGATTGGAGGAAACTCTCATGTTCTTTTAATATATGTTACTTTATGACATATATTTTTACTGCTATTTTTATAGTTCTTTCCTTCAAAAGCCAATTTCAGTGGGAAATAATGCATGTGTGGTACTTAGTTTTGCAAACAAAAATACTTAGGGTTGGCTTGCTAGATTGTGTTGTTTTTGCCTTTTGGTCCGTTACCATTCATTCCAGTTCTCATGATTCATAACACAATAAGGGATTGGTTCAATAGCCTTGTTCACAGCAATTTACAAATTTTGACATTTTACTTTATGTTATGCAGTTTCATCCTCTCGCAACCATTTGAGCATGTGTGAGGTCCCATGACTCAGTCACCTATCTCGCTCAATATCTGATATCAACATTGTTTGAAAATTTGGCTAGGCCCGACAAGTTGAGCCAGTAAATCGGCAAACTAAAGCTTAAATCGTTTTGGTTCTTACATTAGACCGGTTGAGCAAAAAAACTTAGAAAAAACCCATTAAGCCATGTAATTGATGAGAAAATTGTTCAACCCACTGACCGGATCAATTAAAATGGTATAAACAATTAGCCTTTTTGGGCATTTTTTGTCCTAAATTAAGTAGTTTCTCCCCTCAATACCATTTGAGCTGTTGTGAGGGCCAATGACTCAACACAACACACAGTCGAAGGTTCCTCACTCTCTGTAAAATCCTATAAAACCTAGGTAAACAATTTCAGTGAAAAATATGCAAAGTTTTGACATGTTTTCCTTCAACTTGTTATAGAATTTTTATTTGGTGTGGGGTTACCACGAACAGGTTGTAGTTGTTCCTCACTGGGTTATTGTAGCATAATCTCACCGCCCTCAAGTTTGTCATTACCTCGCTCTCTCTTCTCTACATTCTCAACACAAATTTGATTTCTTTTTTGCTATTTTTTATTTGTGGTGTTGTAGCATGTGGTTGTGATTTTTTTGATACGTGGATTTATAAAGGTTATAAGGTTACCTTTAGAGTTTTGACATTTAACCATGCAAATTGATTGTTGATATACTGTAAAATCTGATTCTGAGTTTTTTATTTGGAATTTGGCAATTTTTTTTTGGTCTAAATTTATAGGTTTTATTTGATCCAATATACATTAAACATAGTTACTGATGATGCACAAATCAATTTTATGCACCACCTGTAGAGTGATTATTATGGTTAATAAAATACAGAAAATATGATGGAGAACTCAACACAAGCAACACCCATGGATATAGTAGTTCGATCAAGATGACCTAATCCACTTTAAAGGGCTTTGGTTGTCGGGGTGTTTTATTACTGTAGGAGTGTGGGGAGCTCAGGTGAGTCAAGTGTAAGAGAAAATGCAAGATGCCCTCCATATGTAGGTGAAACTTATAATTTATAGACGTTTCATAACCGATTGAGGCATTATATTCGTAACAGATAGGCTAATTCAGTGGAGGTGGTACCTTTCTCGCAATGGACGGGGTACTTGCACGGAGATCTCTTTATCAATTGCACACTAGGTCTTAGGATGGCGTAGCTGACTCCTTGACTCCAAGATGGCATGACTGACTCCTTAGTTCCAGATGGCGTGACTGACTCCTTGGCTCCAGGATGGCGTGGCCGACTGTGCTCTCTTGATTCCATGGTGAGCTGAGCTGGGTCTCATATGGGTCGGGTCTATTGGACTTTGACTGGGCAAGGCCCATTCCTTTAGTCGGTCCTTATTCGGGCCAGCCCCACTATCTAAGTTGGGCCTTGTCTAAACCGGACTCATTACTTTAGTTGGGCATCACCTAAGCTGGGCCCATTAGCTATTTTTATGCTTATTATATTTGTTGGTATATTTATTATTATTATTATTTATTTTAATTTTTTATTAAACAATCGGTCCGACCAATGACCAGCTGACCCGATTTCTTTACTGGGTTAATGTCTATGCTAAGTTTTAAAACTATGATGGTGAACATATATAAATGTTAATTATCCATGCAGATATGATATTTTGCATGAGTAACCATTAGTATAGGCTATACAAATTTATATTGTAATGGATATTGAAAGAATACACTAGTTACCACTGAGTGGTTGATCCATAGGTAAGAACAGAGTTTTTAGCTCAATGTTTAGGTTTAAGTCTCTATAGATACTATAATTTAAATTTATTATTAAGCGTCCAAAGTATGGAATTAGACCTAAATTCGAAGTGATTTGAGACAAAACTTCAAAGCGGTATGACAATGCTCTTAACGGATATGTGGTGTTCCTTTCTATTGCAGAATTGATTTTAAGGCATTGCCCATCACATTCTCGTGCTTTGCATGTCAAAAGTACCATTGAGGAGTCTGAACCAATCCCATATGCTCCAAGAGGTATAGACAAACTGGAACCTAAACATGTCCGATTGAAATTTCTGGAAAAGAGAAAAGCAACAAATAATGATCAAGATGATGGTATCCTATCCAAAAAGGTGAACCAAAACATAGAATTGTATATCCCAGAGGCTTCTTGGACAGCTCTTGCTGACATACTTCTGGAAATCTTACTTCCATTGAGTGGATCTGGTTGTGAACAAGAGCCTGAGAATTAGCTAGATCTAGGGATGTTGGATTAAGTATAAAGTTGCCTCATAGTTCAAGAATTGTTATGGGGTTTGGGGAAAGAAAAGAATGTACTGTCACCCCAATTGCTGAAAATAAGTCTTACAGTAATTGTAATTCAGGCAAAGGAAGTGTTTTTACTAAGAAGGAAGCAATTATGTATGAAGAACAACCTTAGGAGAGGCGAAGTAGTCGTCTTGAAAGGCTTAGAAGTCATAAACCGGGTAACGAAGAATTAGATTTTGCGAGCAGTAAGGATCTGGGAAAAATTGTACTGCAATTTCTAGAACCTTTTACTTTGGGTGGAGCAGGAACTAAAAATAGTAAGAATGATACCGCCTGTTCTTTTCAATGTGCTGAGGTTGTGGCTGGTCCACTAGACAATGAAAGATGTTACCATATTTGTTCAAGAAACCTCAAAAAATTATGGCACTTACCACTTGGGTCACTTGCTTTTAGAAGAGATGGTAAGTACAAGCATGTTATATCAGGACACCTTTGCCAAGTTTTTGGAGTTAGAGAAGGTGACAAGGCACTGGGGAAGGGATAGGACACCTGAATGTTGTCTTTTTCTTGTTGAGCTGTATTATGACTTTGGATCACGTTCCCCAAACAAGTTCAGGATGTCTGATTTCATGTCAGAAGCATCATATCATCTTTATAAGATAATCGAATTGATAGCTCTAGATATCTGTTCCACGTGAGTAGTGGAGCTGGGGGTTAAACTTCCTCTTCGACAGATAGTTCTCAGCATAATTGTCAAATGCCAATTGGCATTTCTTCTCTATTGAGCAATAAACATTCGTTTTGGGTTCATTTTTTTGGTTATGTGGGTGATTATCAGTTTTGGATGGTAACAAAGCTAAAGCTCAAGAAGAATTATGTATTTCCTTATCACTTTTGACGAATAAGGATAATAAAAGTGGCTCTCTTCGATCTGTTTGCTTGCCCCACTGCAAAGCCGTTAAAAAATTAACAATTGATAGGGTTCTGCATGAGATTAATTTACTGGAGGTTGATTGTTTTGTTGAAAAAGATTGTAGGTGAGATGATTGAGAAAGACATGCATTCTGAGTGTGTAAGTTTGATTTCCCCCCTTCTAATTTCTGCAAAAGATGTGTATCCTGATTTATTATATGTTGCCATCAAAGAACGTGATGAGGTTACTTCACTTGAACTGTTAGCATTAGATGTTTTAATTAAAGCATGTGAACACGCAGAGCCGATGGACATTGAGGTTCTTTTGAATTGTCTCCAACAGAAGCTGCAAATACTCATGGTTGCAGTTGGTGTGGAAGAATGTCATGCTTCTGAGAAAATGTCAGGCTTAAAAGTGCTCTCTATTTCTGAGACAGAATCAAAAGAAAACCCAAGCAAACATTGGAATCATTTGGTTGATAACAAAGTGAAGGCAATATCTCAAATTGTCTCGCAGATGAAGAACCTTATCCATCCTTGTGGAAATTCTGCGAGTCAAATTTTATCCTCAAAAGTTGATGGTTCTATGGCCACAGTTTCATTATCCAAATATTCCCATAGAAGAACTCTGATATAGATAGTTCATTATGAGTGCTGGAATTAATATTTGCATGGAATTTGTTCACACTTATTACTTTTACTTATAATTCTCAACTTGATGGATAATAGTGGCTGGTTTTGAAACTGATATTTTGTAGAGGACAACTTTTATTTTTCTTTTCATGACAATCATGCACTTCGTGTAAGTGTTTCAACCTTTTCTGCGTTGGAAAGTGTTTTCGAAGTTTTAAAGGTTGTAATGCTTGTTCCTAGTTAACGGTAATGAATGCTACTCTTAATGACTGTGAATCTAACTCAAACAGTTCCATGATTCTTCATTCGATAAGGAATTCAATTATACAAGCTTCACCGCATAGGAAAAATCTGTGAGATGTCCCCTGTTGAAGATCTAGACACGAGAGATGACCTTGATAACTGATAAGTATGAACATCTAGATGTGAGTCTTGTGGTGAACTGTACAAGGAATCTCTCAAGCTGAGAAAGGCATAGATGAACATATCTTACAAGATCTAGTTAGTTGGAATGAGAGAAATGTCTTCAAACAAGAAGCGGTAGAATATGCAACTCTGGTTAGTTAGTTGAAGGGTGTGTCACAGAGTTACTCTCTGAGTGTAACTTACCGTTGTGGATAAGAGAAACACAACAGCTGAGGGTGGGGAAATGTTGGAAAAAGATCTTCATCCATGGAGAATCCAAGAAAGGTCTTAAGCTGAAAATTTCCAAGGCTAAGCAAGACCTAGCTAATACTAGAGAATAAAGGTTGGCTCAGATAAGTGGTCTAAGAAATTTAATAGGCTACCTGGCACTTTCAGTTGTAAAGCAAGTTTAGGATGTAGTATGTTTAATCCCCTCCACCTCCGGAACCAATACCGTGTTTGTAAAAGGGTCCTCAGCCTCACAGTGAGAAGTCCACCAATAGCACCTCCTAGGTCAAATTTGCACTTTTCTTCACAAAATTCATTCCTATATGTTTTCATGGAAGGTGGAAGGTTACATCAGGTCTAGGTGCCCAGCCTTGGGTGAGCTCCCAATGTATCTAGATATCAACCCTCCAACAGTCTATAAATTCTTCGTGGATACTTGCATATGCAGTATCTCTGTGCGATTGTAGGAAGGCTTTGACCTAACATTGGTCCCATTTATGTATGGTAAAATGGGTGCTCCGTGAGTTTAATAAGGTGCAGACACAACCTCTTTTTAATTGCTTCAACTGTTTGCCCTTAGTTTCAGACCTGTGTTCTCTAAAAATAGGCTTGACATCTTAGCTTTTACCAATCCACCAAGCAATTGCTCCTCTTATTTAGTTTAACCGAGTCTATTACTAGTTCACAGAGATTTACTAGATCCCATATCAATAATTTGTTCAGGTACGTAATTGTGAGCTTAGTATTTAACTACATTTTTTCTTCTTTTAAACCCTCGGCTTCTTTTCCCCGCTGCTTTTTTCTTCCACTTTTTCTCTCCTCTATTTTTCAACAGTCGTATTTTCTCAATTTTTTGGGTTTTTTTTTCCTTCTTGAATATGTTCTCCTCTTTTGTGTCATTGAACTATGGGTTTCTCAATCAAAACCCCTTTTGTCATTTTACATTTGTTTTTGTTGGAGATGTTTAGATTGGAACCTGAAATTCCTCTTGAACCTTAACAAATCACAAGAGCCTAGAAATTTGTGAATTCAAATATATATCTATAAATCGAAAAGGAACCTACCCCATCTGCCGGAATTACACCGTAGTTTCCACTTATCAAATGATTACATGATCAAAGACCCATTCAAAATGGGACCTTGCATGATACTTTTTTGTCACCCAGGGTTGCGAACCTACCTGCTTTGTTGAGTGGTTGGAGAGAAAAAAAAAAAAAGAGGACAGAAGAGGTATTTGAGGCTAGGGTTAGGGTTTTGGGTGCTTTGATACTATGTTGAGATTCTAGAGAGAGATAAAAGAGAAAGGTAGAAGTAAAAGAGTGACTGGCTTACCCTATGATTGGGAGACCTGCCTATATTAATAAACAAAAAGGTACAAAAATTCTCAGCCTAATGATAACTCGAATAAATCTAATAAGGTGTATACTACAAGAGAGTAAAATGGAATTTGTCTTCCTTTCTGTATTTTTATTTTGAGTGCTTGTGGTTACCTTATGTGTTGTAATAAAACTATCAACTCATTTTTATTTCTGTCTTAGGCGGAAAACAATTGGTCTTTCTAGGAACATGAAGGTGCTAGAAGTTAACCTACCAGAAAGTTCTCGAAAATTTATTACTTGCATTAGGAAGTACATGTTGTTCTATTTGAAATTGATGGAGGAGACGGTAGACATCTCTACTCCAGACCATGCTTACACATCTATTTGGGCAAATAAGAGGGTATGAACATGTCAATCCTTTTAGCATTTTCTTAATCTAGTGTATGTTGCAAAAAATATCATGGGCAATATATTAAGAGCCTATCATATTTAGGAAATGAAGCTTGGAGCGATTCTAGTTGAAACAAATTCTATGATTAGGTGATTACTTGAATTAAGAAGACTGAAGTTCTTGAGTACATTGATTTCTATAAAAACCTTCTCCTAGAATGAACTTTTATCTCATTTGACTTCTTTTCAAATTAGATCTGGTGGTTGATCCTATACTTGCCATTGATCATTTTTTAGAGGATATTATTGCACATCTTAGTCAATGTTGTGTTTCCTGGAAAATAATATCCATTTACGTTGTGGAGCTTTCATGTTTGATACTTTTCACCAAGAAATAGATCTTCACTATATTATCTTCATTAATTTTAGCTTATGCAATGTTAGTATTTCCGTAGGAAGCCATCATCCCTGTTCTAATTTACATGCCACTTCCAGCTTGGTGGTACATGAGTAGATAACTAATCTTGTTTTGTTGCTCATCAAATCAATTTTTAGCTAACTTGTTATAGATCTAGCTCTCCTTGTGCTTGGAAGATCTCGTTCCAGTAGCACTTGGTAGGTACATCAAGGCTCTAACTTCATCTATGCGTCAAACTAACAATGGCTCTGGTGCTGCGAACGGATCTCTTGATCATCTTCTGGAGAACATGTTCTCTTTGTTCTTAGAACATGTGACCATATGGTCCGATATATGCAATTTTCCTGAGATCAAGGGCCCAGAGTTGGTGAAAAGCAACTTCCATGGGTAGGTCATTAAAGAAAATAACAATCACAAATTAAAAATGTTTAGAATGCTGATTCAGATGAGTGCAATGCAGTACTGAGGTCAGATATATAAGTTGGACACTTAGTTTATCATTCACAATTATTTAAACAGGTTACCCTTTGTAGATATCTCAATCAATACATCTAGTTGTTAGAGAGCAATGCCAAGCTAGAAATGCTTGAAGGAACAAATGAAAAGATAAGAAAGCATTTGAAGAACCCAAAGTTGTCAAATAGTAACTGCACAAAGGTTTGTAGGCATGTTTCTACTGCTTGGCGTCGATCACTTGTGATTAGCTTGGCCCTAATCACACCATTACATACCAGACTGTCAAGTGAGATCCAAGTTCGTAATTTATCAAATAGTGGTTTAGAAAACACCCAACTACTTTGTGTTGATCTGCAAACAGATGAATTAGGGAATTCATCATTTGAGGACCCAAACCATCTAAATATTCTTGAAACAAAGTGGAACCCTTTATTGTCCAAGATTAAGAATGTTATAATCAAGAAAGTTTCTGATGAAGATTTGGAGACTGCCACAACATTGCTGAGATCTTCATACAACTTCTATAGGGACACCTCTTGTGCTATGCTCAAATGTCAGGTGTAACCCTTTATATGGCACCATCTTAGTTAGCGACAGAAACATATATTCAGCTGGGCATAGATGGGGTTGACATTCTTGATATGAATACCTCCCGAAAGCTTCTTTTGTGGGCCTACACACTGTTGACTGGTCATTGCCCTAATATCTCAGTTGTTATAAAGTATTGTGAAGAAAATGCCATGGTATGTGTTCTAAGCTCCTTGGAAGAGTTCTTTGGTTGCCATGTCAGTATGGTTCTGTCAATAAATGTGATTGGAGGTCTACGTAGGATAACTTAAGTTAGTGTATATAATTCAGAAATTGAAATAATTTATGAAACGAAGAGGGGCACACCTCTATACATCATAGCAAGCTAAGGATGCATACCAATCAACCTAACATGTAACAATCAACATCCTAGCTAAAACTGAGTACACAATAGTTGCAAATAACAATGAAACTAACAAATACAGATCTAACAACTAAGAAGTTCTCTTGTTTTGATATTTGGTCTTGTCCTCTGTATTTATTCAAAACTTTGACTCAATATACTCCAAGTATCTTGAAATAAAATTAATGTAGTAGTGGAAAAACTATTGGTTATTTTGTTGGGGGATTTCTTTATAAAAGGTCTATTGAAGCTTATTGTCACACCCTAACTAACTTGGGTGCAAATGGCTAGTCTTGGTGGCACCTTGCACCAAGGCACACCATGAGTTGGAATCAAGGTGACGCAGCTAAGTGGTTTGTTAGATTGGTGCGGACCAAGGCAGCATAAGACCACCCGGCTGAGCATGGCAGCACATGATGGGCTTAATTGAGGCAATGTGGGTGCATAGCTTTAGATTGTATGGCATGGGCTAAACCCAGCATGCGCATTGGTTCGTGAAGCAAGGTTGACTACTGAATGTAGGCACATGACTGGCACATGGCTGCTTAATGTATGTGACCAGGAGGATATGGGCAGTTGCAGATGCTGAGACTCAGTCAAGGTAGTTGCTGAACAAGGCCTAGTCTGTGGAAAGCAGTTCTGGGCGTCCCTAGTCTTAATCTGGTCCAAATGCATCCTGATGAGGGGCAATTCCACATCAGTTACTAAAGGGGTGGAACTGCCTACTAGGTGTTGTATAGAGATCAAGCCTACTGACCAAGTTTGCTATGGAATAACAAAATGTGTGTAACTACGCTTTGGCAGATGGGAGTGTCATCTGCATACTCTTTGTATAAATAGGGGTGCTGAGGCATTCT